AGGATGTATCTAGCTTAAAAGCATAAAGCAATTATTTACTGTCTAGCATGCAGTAAAGAGCCTCTAATGAGCTGCGAGGTAAAGCACTGGTATGCTTGTCACCCCCACAGAGCACATGAAGAGCCTTTCTTGGCTAGGCAGGAGTTGGTCAGGAGGGGATGGGCTGCTGCTACCTGGAACAGAGCCTGGATGTTACAGAGTTGCCATTTTCTACCAACTTGCTGTTTGTCCTGTTGTTTTGTTTTCCCCTTTAGGATATTTTAATTTTTTTTGGTGCTAACATTTTTCTGCTTGAATTGAGCCAGCTGTTACTCTCACTCTCCTACTTCTGTGTATTACTTTACCTTTTGTACCTTGTATTGTTGTACAACACAGACTTTCCCACAGAGCTTTTTCAGAGCGTAGCGGTCTCCTTGGAAGTCTGGGCTAAGGGTACAAAGCTGCATTGTTTCAGAGCTGAGCTGAGTTTCTAGCCTGAATTCTTGGTTCAGAGGCAGCTGAAGTCCATTCAAAAAATGCAGGACTTGATTCAATTTCATGTGCCTCTTCATCAGAGACTTAAATAGCACAAGCAAAACCCACAAAAGTACTGTGAAAAATTGCACATAAACAACATAATCCAGCACTCCCGTAATCAGTGCTCATATAGATCCACTGCCATACCAATGGAAGGCTGCGCAGAGAAGGCTTGATTGCACCCATTAAGCTTTCAAATATTTGAAGTCTGATAACATAAGTATATAAGAAAGGAAATGTAGACACCAGTATTCTCCGAACCTGTGCCTGGGTGGCATAAACCACTGTCATGATATGTCTTAGTGTGTATGGTCACTGGAGGAAAGTCTTTAAAATAATCCTTGGTCACTTATGGTAAAGACAGCTAACCTTTCCCATGATTTTTGGCCTAGTTAACTTTGTTAGAATGATTAATAATTTTCCTTCTGGAGCAGCTATTTAAGTTGTCTTTCTTGTGATACTGGACTTGCTACAGCTACCTGGTGCAGTAAGTTAGAGCGAGCGCTACGTCCACACACACACTGAAACATGAGTTCTGGTTTAACTTTTTGCCATGAGAGAATATCTATCACTTTCTAACTGGATAGGTTCTTGCATGGATTTGCTCTGCTGTGTGTTTTTGTAGAAATCTGTAATGAAATACCTAGATAAAACTGTTACAACTTATATGACTTTTTTTTTTTATTCATTCTTATTTTGTAGGCCTTAAAAGATCATGGACATGATTATCTTGTTGGCCAGAAATTAAGCTGGGCTGACGTCCATCTGCTGGAAGCCATTTTAATGGCAGAAGAATGTAAGCCTGACATACTGTCTGCATTCCCTCTGCTACAGGTGAGTAACCACCTGATCCCAGTATGGAAGGTAACATACAAATTTCACTGCTCAGTTTTAACAGCAAATTGACTTTTAAATCATTTGAACTATTGTAGTATGTCACTGACAGTTCCCTGGCCTACTTCTGTTGACTATAACCTGAACACAGGTGCCCTGCCTTGCCCCGAGAGCTGCTGCTGGCTCACCTTTCTCCAGCTCTGCTTTTTCCAGCTGTTCTCAGCTGGCAGAAATTCACTTACTAATGCTACCAGTTTGTAACTGCTACTTCTGTGTCTGCAAACACAACAATGAGCAGCAGGAGGTCATGAGCATCAGGAGGGGAAGCCTGCAGCCTGTTGTGTCTGCAGTTCCTGTCCTTTTTTTGCTAGCAAAATTATATTTTGAAGAAATCATATACAAGAGCTGTTAAGTTTCTTATGTCTTGTCTCCCATGGTGTTTTGCACTGAGGTATTTCTGTCCTTGCCTCTTTTTTTTTTTTTTCCCAAATACACCTGCAGGATTTGGATTCAGGCTGTGGTTGTTGCTTTTTTCTTTTTTCACTCCATCTTTACTAAATGAATCTTAACTCTTTAATATTAATTTCTCCAACCCCCATCTGGGAAACTAAGGTAAATTTTATAGCACCAGCATTGCAGATCAGAACATTCACACCTGGATCTTCCAAGAAGACTAGTATGTGATGGGTAGATTTTTGCCTCTTTTTTTTTTTTTCTTTAATGGAAAATGCTGAGTGCTGAGCTGGTTATAAGAAGCAGCTACCTTTCTCTGTTTAATAAGAATGTCTGAGAAGTAAAAAATCAAGTCACCTGATTTTTAAGCTATAAAAGATGGAATTATAATTTCCTTACTCTCTGATTTTACTGCTGCTTCCCATAGGCTTTTAAAGGAAGAATAAGCAACATTCCAACAATCAAAAAATTCCTGCAGCCTGGCAGCCAGAGGAAGCCACCAACAGATGAGAAGTTTGTTGCCGTTGTCAGAAAAATATTTAATATCTAGTCATATGACTGCTGAAGATAACACAACTGTAGTATATTACCAAAGCTGTAGCTTGTGAGTGTAAACTGCATAGATGTATTCTGTAGCTTGCATCATATAGCCAGTGACATAATTGTTGAAACAATACTTTTAAATTAGAGTAAAAAGCTAATTTGGACTTGTTGACTCCAGAAAGTGTTGTTTCATGGAGCAGTTACATGACATAAAGTATGCTGATACTTTGTGTTTTGTTTAATTATAGTGCATGGTTGGTAGGGTAAAATGTTGCAGCTGTAGCTTCCAGAGTACTCTAGAAAGTCCCCACCCCCATTACAAACTGCAAGAGAAGAGCCTCTTGGGAAAAATGGGGAAGTCACTTAAATTCAGTCCCAGAATCTTTTGATTTTGCTCTCTAGGTGTTCTCCTATATCGAAGTTCACTGTCCCCTGTCTGTATTTCACTGCTCTCTCTGTACTTTCAGAACTGTAGTTTAAAAAATAAATAAATAAAAATAATGAAAAAAAAAAACACACCTCATGATCCTTCTAAGTTTGTGGGCAAAACTAAGCAACTTGTTTAATCTCCACATGAATCTCTTAGAAGGGATTTTGTTCACTGAAAGATCAAAGAACTTGTGTTTAATTAGCCTGATGTGGTTTTCATCCACTGAAAGCACCTATTCCCTTGCTCTTCTTTTTGCTGCTTGGCTAGATGGTCAGTCAGGAAAATGCCGCTTTTTTTTTTTTTTTTTTTGTAAGTTTTTTACCTTCTCCAGTCGCTTCCCAAGTAGTTGTAAAGAGAACTGTACCAGCTGCTTACCTTTTCAGTAAAAGTTAGTTTTATCTCAACAGTGCTTAAAGCATTGATTACTACTTCAGATTCATTACTTTCATTTCATGGGGACCATCATTGTTCCCTTTAAAAACAGTGCCACTAACTCTTCTTCTTCCTTGCAGTTATTTGGTTTTCTCAGTAGGACTCAAACTGATTAGGCAGAGAAAACAGTCAACCAGTGTATATACAGAATTGCTGCTCAGCAGAATTAACTCCTTTTCTGACTTGTGCACAAGAAGAGCCACATAACGCATCTTGGAGGTACAAACCTGGAGCACCCCAGTCACCTTGGCATTGTCCCAATGAGGTCTTAAGAGTTTTACATTAACATTTCCCAGGCAGCTGGGAGCAGTAGTTGGCCGTGCCCACCGTAGTACTCAAGTGCCATTGCGCTACTCCTCTGTTCCCAACAAGTGCCGAACCACCACAGACTGCCACAAGACCTCATCACCTTTGCCTTTTGTGAGTCCTCAGTCCCACAGGGATATGTTGGACTTGCTGAGAAGGCTGCTCATCTGGGTGCTCAGGATGTTCAGCAAAAGCTTCTGTATTACAGTTGGACTCGGAGGCTAGGCCCAGCCCCCTGTCCCTATGGGGTACTTGAGAGAATGCACAGAAGGCTCAACTCTGGACATGCTCAGAAATAGAATACCTCATCACACTTCGAATCTGGAGTAGCAGCAACTGCAGCATGGCTTCTGCATTTTAGCACTAGGTTGCCTAAACTTTTCATTGGACATTAATCTTAGGCAAGATTCAACTTGTCTACAGTACAAATACCCAAATGGGCATTGCTCACCCAGGCCTGTTACGGTACGTAGCAGTTCGATTCCTCTGATGTGCTTTGAAGTTCTACTTCAGGATGAGATGAACCATATCTTATGTGTCCAGCTGTCATCCCAATCTAAAATCTGTAACATAGCAGCTCAATCACCTGTAAGCCTGGCAACACCTGGAGGTGACTGATACAACATCTGATAGCAAAAGATTCTGGAGCCAGCGGCTGTGGTTCAGGATTGTGGTTTTTTTTTTTTTTTTTTTGTCTTATTTTTAGTCAGTTGTGCCTTAGACATCAGCTGTTCACAACACCCTGTCACCACCTAAGCCCCTGCCCAGAACAATAAGCTTGGTATTCTGCTGATGGATTTGTGCAGCACTGAGATCTGGTATACAATAGCCTTTATAACCAAGCTCTGTATGAAAAAAATGAAAAGAAGCAAAATTCCTCTTTGTTTTCAATAGTGCACGCACCCATATTCAGTTTCCTAATGGTTTGGCTGCATATTCCTGTGCACCAGAAGCTAGTCTTAGCCAAGCTTTGAGACCCAGGGACTATTTAATTATTTTCTATGCAAACCCAAGCAACTCCAGCCCCTGAATCATTTATGTCTGAATCATCTCCTTTGCTTATGAGGAGGACTTCAGCAAGATAATCTGTGTAAAACCACAACAGCTAACCTGTTAATGAGTACTGAGACTGAGAGTTTAGAACCTATTCGCTCAAGATGGTGAACCTCCCTCAGCTGTGGTTCAATGTCAGTGGGAATTTACAGCACGGTACATGTTTTAAACCGGTACTGAGTACAAAACAGATCATCAGACTCTTCCAATGACAAAACAGCTCACTAGTCTGCATAAAAAACTGAGAAGCTTTGAACATTTTACGTATTATTTGAACACTGATAAAAGTTTTTACATTTAGAACCAGTGAAACAACAATGTGTATTTGAAAGGAAGGCGGGTTTTCCAGTGCAACACAGGCCCAAGCCTTAATTGATTAGAATTGATTACTTAGTCTCAGAAGCTACAAAATTATTGTTCAATACAATAAACCTTTTTAGCATAAACACGTATTTATATATATTCTCTCAGAGATACAGTGCAAGATTAATTCAATTTCTTGGAGTGCTCAGCACCCCTGAAAGATCAAACTTACAGAGAAAGATCCCTTGAGTTAACAAGCTGCTTAAACGGAAGTAGATCAAAATAAATGATCAACAAAACTCTTCTTTTAGTTTAAAAAAAAAGCTTGCAAAATATCACCAAATGTCAATAATCAAATAGCAGGTACAGATCTTTTACAGAAAAGATAAATGCAATTTAAGACTTGCGTTCAAACTTGTCTTTCAAGTATGGAGAGCTTGCCTGTTTGTTCGGTGGGTGTGGCAGTCATACTTCAGCTCTTAAATTGCTAAATTCTCCTACAGCAGCATAAAAACAAGCCTCAAAATCATCAAAAGGCTGCAAAAAAAAAAAATAGAACAAAAACTGTAAATATGGTTGTGCATGAACAAAACCAGTGAAAGTTATCATTAAATAACAGTGCATTCATAAATACCTGACACTCAAGTAATCTTTTAAACTGCCTAAATGTACAGCCCTAATGTCTGTTGAAACACACAGTCCACCATTGAGGCTTGAAAAGCAATCCTCAATGGAAATGACATTTTCCAGTTTTAAGTCCCGATTCTTAAATTTTGCACCTTGACAATTTGCATCTGTATTTTTTTCCTTCCTGTATGTAATTGGAGTAAAACAGTTAATGGTGTTATACTAAATCGTAACAACGAAGGAACAGTTATTCCTTCAGAAGATGGAGATTCTGACTTATTTGAAAAATGTTTTGAGTTACAGACTCACTGGGAAAAAAAAGTTTTTACTTACTCCATAATTTATTTCCAAAATAATAAGTACAGAAAATTATGTTTTCCAGAATACCAAAATAAACAGCAGCAATAAAGCAGTCGGAATAGTTAGAAACATCATAATTTGCAGTAATACTGACCAAAGTTCTTAGGTCAGGTCAAAAATGTCCTAGTTTTCAAAGGTGCTGCACTTCCAGTAGTTTTGAATGCAGCACTTCTAAACCAAAGTGTTTTTTTTTTTTCTAAGATGACTGTGTTGTATGAAATTAGATGACTAATTTTATGCATATGCATTTGAAAACACTGAGGCTTACCTCAGGTTCTTCCAAGAGCCTTATCAATATGCATTAATATTTAACTGCAGATCTCTCCTTTCTGTGCTGAGAAAGTCAGTCCATATCAGATGTATCCGCCTAGTGAGATGAAAAAGCTGTTCACTGGAAACAGGACTGTGACCTTCGAACTAATTTCACTTAAACCATACAGTGACTCGATGACAGTAACTTCCACTGATACTGGTTTGGATTAGATGTCAAATGGCAACTATTTGAAAATCAGTTAAATCTTTACATTAAGATCCTCAATATATGTTTACCTCAGGCATGCTACTAGTCCGGCTGGCATTAATTTCTTGGACCTCTTGAACCTCATTCCCATTATAATGGTCAAAAGAAAAGCTGAAACTGTAAAACACAATTCAATATATTTATGTTCTCACTTCTCGCAGTGGACCATTCAGGAACATGGAGAGTTATCAAAGGTCATTGCTAAATTTTGCTATGAACTGTAATTTAATAAAACATTAGATAAGAAATAGGGTCTATAAAAACTGCTATGATTTCTTTCAGATACAAGTAAGGTTTCCACCTGCAGCAGAATGCTAAATCCTATTCAACAGATACTAAGTAAGTTTGCCAGGCAGTGAATTCTACTCCAGTTTGTTTGTCAGACAGTGATTATCTACATTCAGGGGGATACAAATAAAGTAGGAAGAATCTTCATTGTATCAAGAACTTACATGCTGAATTACAGGAACAGCGTCTCATAAATCCCACCACCCTAGATCATTGCAGCTGTTTTCTAACTATTTAAGGAGCCAGAGCAGCCAACATTATCTGTTTACTTTTTAGAATGCTAGCTCTTAATTTGCTGAGCCTTAAAAACTAGATGGAAAGGTTTGCCACTTTTTGCTACAGAATACGGCTATCAACATCTCCTTCATCAGGACCACAAGTTCCCTTGTTTCCTTTTGCTACGAGGGAACCATCCTTATCCATGACAAGAGGTGGGCAGCCCAATGGGGCAACAAATGTAGTGCAGAGAACAAACATCATGAAAGGAACTGTGTCTTCCTCCTGGAGCAAATTTACCTAACAATGGAGGTAGCAGTGAACTGAACAGGCATGGGGATTTCATATCGAACTATGGCTGCAGAGTGCTACATAAATGAGAAGATTGATGAGAATAAATAAAACTCTGCAAAGATAGCTAGTTTTGTTAAAGAACTGTCACTGAAATACTTCTTAGAAGTGGGCAGAGAGACAGGCCTTCTCATGGGCAGCTGGGTTTTAACACTCCTGCAGCCAAAGTAATGACAGTTACATAAACCTCTTCCCTTTTTTATGGAGCAGTTAAACCCTCTGGCTAAATCTCTTCAAACTCCACCGTCTGCTCCTGTGGACAGTCCTGTGCTCATAGGTGTCAAGAATTAGTTTTAAACTCACTCCAACATTATAAAACAAGTTCTGACAGCTACAAGCATCTTACAAATCTCTACCAGCTATGCATGTGCACTCATTACTCTGTAAAAAAAATATTATGCTCCAATATCCATTGCTCTTATTTTCTGGTCTCATAGCCTTGATCCTCTCAGGAATGTCTGAAGAGTGGACTATTCCACAGCATGCATCCTGCCAGAGCCCTGAGCATATTTGCAACTAATTACAAGCTACAAAGCATGTTCACTCTGTAATGTTCTTTTTTCCAGTTACTACTATCTGGCTTTTCACATGTGCCAGTGAGTTTTTAAGACATTCAACTTTTAGACCTGATTTTCAAAAGTGCTAGATACTCACTCTTTCACCTTAAATCAGTCAAAGAAATTCAATAAATCAAACCAAATTCAATTCAGTAAATCAGGTTCATATCAGAAATTCAATAAAACAGGTACATCAACTTGGGATTCTGTATAGCACTAACTGTTGCATACTGAAGCCTGAATTTCTACACCTACTCCAAACACATAAAATTGCATTAAAGAATTCAAGAAAGCACAGAGCTAATTTCAGAGGTAGTGGGTAGATGCTTGAAAGAATAATTTATAAGAGAACTAAGACAATTTGCCTGGATATCTGTATGCTTCATATTCTTTGTGTGTAGGACAAGTTACAAGAACCCTACTATCAAGGTCTTGTACTAAAACATTACCTACATTATTGTGGGATACTCCTGTGTAGGTGATAAATACTACAGATAATTATGGGTTTGGCAGAGATTTTTTTTTTTTTTAAATTTTCCTAACCTTTTAAAGGTTTGAGTACTTGCTTCATTTTACACTGCAATTTACTGGTTTCTAAATTCAGAGCGGTCACTTTCTTCCATCCACTTCATTTCCTACTTTCATTTGTGCTCTAGCTCCTTTTGGCACTTCAGAAGGCTAGACATAGGTGAAAACATTCTGATTTTCTACAAAAGCAATATAATTTTACTAGGCCTCACTATTCTGAAAGTAGCAGATACAGTAGCCACCAAAGGTTTTTAAGGTGTGGACCTGTAGATGTTTCCAATGTCTAATTCTCCCCTCCTCTGAAGTCTTCCTACCGAGTTCTTTATTCATTTGAGATAGCTATGTATATAGAAGCCAAAAGACAACCTCTTCCCGACTGAGATGCATCAGGCTGGAAAAGATTAAAACCAGCCTGAATGGTTGGCCCTGGCAGAGTACTTTGCATGAATACTTACTAACTCAATTCAGGCAAAAGTTACCACAGTTAGTTCAGAGCACCTTCTTTGTTTCATTCAGCACGAGTGGATCTCAAAGAGGCCACCCATTTGTAGCCATTCATAGCCAAGGTTGCCGGTCTTGGTCCAGCCGGGACTGGGACGATGCGCCGAATAATGACAAACTCACTTCAGTTTGGGAAGGTGAAGCATTGCCAAGAGCAAATGCTGCCATCCTGTATGCAAGCCCCCAATTTATCGCCCCCTGTTTACATCTTTCATTTCTGTTTTCCCCATCCTACTGGCCTTCAGATCTAGTCTGTTTACTGACTGCTCGCTCATCACACGCTCCACAGGTGGTGTTCTGACCTGCAGCTTCTCACGCTCACAGCAGGGTGCTCCACACTTGCTTCATTTACCTGCAATCATCCTTCTAGTCTGAAAGTCAGTTTACAATTTTGCTAACCACCAATTCTTCGTTCCCACAAATGTTAAATATATGTTTAGGTTTTAAGCAATTAGAAAATCACTTTGTAAACATTCTGAACTAAGACTGCTTTAAAAAGTCTTTGTTCCTTTTACTCTACACCTTTACACTGTACCTAAGGCAGGTGTAGTGACCTCTGTCTATCTCAACTGTATTGCTATAATTTCTGTTAAATTAGTAATACATTTCTCCAGTTGAGAGAAAGTCCTCACATGCCTACAGTGACATGAAATGGACAACACTGGCAATATTTCAGTATATCTGATGTTCACAGGCAGATTAGTGGAAATTCTGTATTAGTCCTTTCAAAACTAGGGAATTGGGAAACAGGCAACACTTAGTAAGTTTTAATTAGTCTTCCCTTCCACAAATTCCGTATCCAAATTAGTGATTTAATTGGCCCATACAAGTGCAATCCTGTATGCTACTTATAAGCATCTCACACTGATGTATTACAGATTTATATATACTTAAGTCTATGTCTTCATTTCAAAAAGCTGCTGTTTTTTTTGGGGTTTGTTTTGGTTTTTTGTTTTTTTTTTTTTTGTTTTTGTTTTTTTTTTTTTTTTTAGCAGTGGGATAACTTAATCTGAGCAAGGTCTCAGTGACAAAATTGGAATATCCAATTTTAGGCCATCTAGGAGCAGATCAGGTATGTCATTACCACCTTTCCTAAAGAACTCAGTTGGTGGGCACATACTTTGCTATAAATGCTATTCAACTTCTTGAAATGGAAATTTTCACAACTGTGGCTGGTGTAAAGCACAAAGCCAGCCTGAACAGTATACCATAAATTCTAACTAACTTCAGAAAAAGCAGTTGTGTACTCACACAATCTGGATTAAATGTATTTTAAATACATTTCTGCAAGCGAAACCACAGCCTAAACCACCTTTGCTAAAACCATGAGTGAGACAAGCTCCCAGCAGCCCTTATCACAAATCAGTTGTGTGAAGTTATTGTAGTTTCTTGCCTCCATGAGGGTTTCATGGCAAACTAGCTAACACGACATTTCTTGCACAGTTTGTATCCTGTCTTTCTTAGCAGCAAAGGAAAAATACCAAGTCAGACTATTTATTTAATTGGGACCTGATACGTTACATTACGCAAGACTGGATCCCACACCTACATTTCAAATTACATTCTAATCTGTAGCACAAATGATTTTATTCCAGTACTCTCGCATGTTTCTCAGCTGGATTTCACAATAGTTAGAATGTTAGGTAACCATCTAATCAAAGGAAGTGCTGCCAGGTGGTAACACACCTGCTGGCTTTGTGTGAATGATCCGCCTTGCAACTGGTTCCACAGTGAAGCTCTTGAACTTTGCAAGTTAAGTTGAAGTGTCAGACTCTTAAAAACTAACATTTAAACCAAAGCAATACTCTAAATTTAATAAAAGACAGAATTTTGCATGCAGTTCAGGAAACTGCTTTTTTTTGGCTTGTTTGTTTGATTATTGTAATAAAACACTTACACAATGATATCTTCACATTTCTCGGATCACGTGTTATGCAGTAAGCTCCATAACCAGCCACAGAACCAAAGGTGAGACCAGCAGTTAAAGAGATTTTACTACCTGCAAGAAACCATTCAAGTGTTATTTCTCAATACAGTGTCTTTAAGTCCAATCTTTACACAGCAGTTCTCTCCACAGTATTATCCAAATATTTTAAAAACAGAACTGATTTTGCCACAGTGCAGCTAGCTCACCCAGTGTGAACAGAAAGGTAATATTCCTGTAACTGGGTCATTCTCTTGCACGGCATTAGGGGCAAGGTTGGCCAAATCAGAGGGAGGGGATCAGGATCTAGTAACACTTGAAATTTGGGAAAAATAATCTTTGAAGCACAAACCTAAATTTGGCTATTTTCTCTACCATCCATACCTTCAGAAGCATTTTTGTAATTTCTTTGGGCTGTCTGTTGATTTTAACTGTATCTGGAAGCACTTGGGAATCTCCAAAAATGGTAGAAATGTGTCAGTATATACAAAGGGTAAACTGGACAACACATGTAGCCTTTCAGTCTGACATCAGTCCTGGACAAAGAAGTGGTATCACCAACATCACATTTAATTCACAAGAATTTAAAACAGTTAATGGCAATGAAGATGAAAATATGACTTTTAAAAGTAATTCGACACCTTCTTTCAGTGCTACTACAAAACTGGTTCATAAAGCCCAGAGTTTCAGTAATATACTTAGGTTTCTGAATAGGCATTTGACTCTGTACCATATGATAAAAGCATAGAATCAGCATAGCAGGTGTTATCTGCATTAAGGTGATCCCAAAATGTTTACAAATAAAGAATCCAGGCACCCAGATGTCATTTAGCTCCCAGTCCTGCTATATTGAATATTTTTAATCAAGAATTTGCAAGAAAACAGAAATCATTACAAAATAATAATAATAAAAAAAAAATCTAGATTTGCCACAAGGACTGACCAACTAGTCAAGAGTGAGAAGAAGTGAATGGGATAACCAGTGAGTGCAGCTGGATGCAAACAAAAAAACACAGTGTTTTCAGTAAGTCAGATATAAAGCCATGTCTCTAAGAGCAGAGCATGTGCACAGTACACAGGGAAGCAATGACCCTAAATCAGAAGAATTTGGATGGCTAATGGCCACAGTGAAGAAGACTGATGCACTGCTGGGACGCGTGCTTTGCAGGGGAGCTAACGGGGACCAGCCTGGAGATCCTGCCTGCCCGTCCTCGGTTCCACTGCGACCTCTGCCGGGATGCTGTGCCTGGCTCGGGCAGCGCACTGCTGGCTGGGAAGGACAGCAAAAACGGCTGAAATATGGAAAATGCGCTTTATGGTACACGATAACCTAAAACCTGTCTGATTATCTGAGAGTGAAAGTGCACAGTTCTAACAGTATGAGATAGTTAACCACCAAATCAGAATGCACAAGTAAAGGGTTTTCTTTCCAGTATCTGGAAATCTCAGAATTAAGCCTGGATGCCTCCATAGGAAATAAGCTTTAATCAAAGATCTTATACTGTGCTCAACACAGGAATGATTAAAGGAAATGAGAAGGCCCAAAATACACTCAAGGTCAAAGAAAACATGACGGCCCCTTTTTGCCCTGAAAACAAACTCATCAGTTACCTTAACAGAAAAAAGTGACCACTTAAATGCTTAAGTTGACCCAAGTAAACCTCATGAGACTCAGCTCATTTATAGCAGCACAGGATGGATTTAAGACACAGTCATGTTCATTACAACAAAGTTTTCATGTCTCGCTTATTTTTTTTTTCCACAAAGCATAGCAGAGAGGAAACTCAAATGTTTCATTTCCAAATCCTGCTGTCCCAGTATTTACCTTTACGAGTGTAGCCTACAATACCTCCAACAGCCAGCAATGCAGCATATGCAAAACCAATCCAATCAATAGCCATGGTCCCAACTCTGAAAAAGAAAACACCTTGCAACTGAAGACAAACAAGTTCCTGCCTCCTGGCAAAAAAAAATTAATCACTACTTAAAGTGTTCTAAATAACACTACACTCTCCTAAATCGTGTTTGCCTGTTGTGTTAAAAAATTCAAAAGGTAAAGGTGTGTTTAGTGTATCATCTTTTCACTAACTGCTGCCCTTCCTTACATCTCAGTATCTAGGTATATTTCATTTCCATTAGGGGAAATTGGGATTTTTGGGATGTATGTGGCATGCATATGTCCCAGTCAAAAATATGTGTATGCAAGCAAAAAGCTTGACACCACCCAAAGCACCAGTTTCGTTGCGCTTGTGCCACATGGCTGATCTGGGCACACACTATGGGTGCGTACAGGTCTTCTGAGTGCACAGCTCAGTGCCCTTTCAACCAGGCTGTACTTGGTGTACTTCAAGCAGGCTGTCACAGGCCCTGCAACACCAGGCAAAAATAGGAATTTTTAGTCTACACAGCTTCCACACAGAAACCACGGCTGCCTTCATACATGCAGAAGCTTTCCCCTACCTATGTCTACGCTCCTTTTGTTTCACCTTCAGATTTTGATGCATTGTCCAGTGCGAGGCTTCTGTCCTCCAAAACGCATTTAAGTTATTGTTGCACTAATGATGCTTACTTCCCCAGCTGTGCTTTGTAAAGGACAGCCCCATCAGCGCTGCAGCCTCTACAGCGGGTGCGGTACACCTTTCCCCTCTTTCTCCCAAATTCAGTGTATACTTAATCCCTCTTTCTACCTGAGCGCGTGTCCTTGATCACAGTGTTAAAGGGGTGGCAGGAAAAGAGCACACACTCATCGTTTCATGGGAAGCCTTAATATTAAAGTGAGCAGCACAGGGTGAGCTGCCCCCCGTCCCGGCTGTAACCCCCTCCCGCCCAAGGCAGGCGGGTGGTTTTAGGGAGCCACGGCAACCCCGGAAACGAGGTCTACAGAGGCAGGGACCTGGCTCAGGGCTCGGCCTCGGAGGCCTCGGCAGGCGGGCCGCGGCCAAGCGCGGCCGCCCGCTCTCCCTCGGGCGGGCGCTTCCACCGGGGCTCCGGAGCTGCCGGGCCCGCGCTCCCCGCCGCCCGCCTCTCCCCACGCTTCCCCCTCCTCCGCTCCGCGCAGCCCCGCGCTCGCCCCCCCCCCACCGCCCTCCGCGGCGGAGCCCCCGCCAGAACGCGGGGGGCTGTGGCGGGGAACCCCACGGCCCGCTCCTCCCGCTCCCGCCGCCCGCTCGCCCTCAGCCGCCCCCGCCGGGCTCAGAGCCCCGCCGCCGCCGCCGCCGCCGCCGCCGCCCCGCCGTACCTCGTTCCGCCGCCCTCCGACCTCCCCCGGCCCCGCCTCCCCCGCCCGGCGGGCACCGTGAGGCCGAGAACGGCCGGCGCCGCGGTTCCGCCTCGCCGCCCGCTCCCCGCCTTCTGCCCCTCGGCGGGCCTGCGCCCCGGGCGGTGGGGGGGAAGGAGGGCGCCCGGCGCCATCATGGCAGGGAGGCGGCGGGGCCCGGCCGAGCGGCCATTTGCGAAGCTCCCTGGGCGAAGGGAGCGGCGGTTCGTGGCACTCGGCTGAGGCGGGGAGACGCTGGCGCGGGGTCTTTGCACCGTGTTTGTCCGGGCCCCTCAGCGACAGCGCCCAGCTCCGGCGTTGGCGTCTCCCGCCTCTCCGTGTCCAGCCCTCAGGCGGCTTGTCTGGGTTCCACGGGCGGCAGGGAGATCCGTGGCTTGTTTTAGCCTTTTTAAGCCTAAAAAACCCCTGCGCTGCCGTGTTGGGGATGGAAGAACTCATGAACGAGCATGAAGTCACGTCTGCAGAATCGCTTGTCCCCATGGAGGTTGGGGAGAGGGTCTCCTGCCCGCAGCACCCCGGGGACACCCAGCGCCAGGAGCTCCTTGCTGCGCCAGGAGCCCCCAGCCCCTCACACGGGCCGGTGCCTCGCTCCTCTTCGCCGGCATCTGTGGAACTTTGAGGGGCGCCTGCATGAAGTCAGGGGAGCGGACACACAAACCAGACACTGATGTCACCTATTTGTCAGGGGAAAACAACAGGCGCAAACCCCAAGACTCAGATACTACACATGTAGCTAATTAGGAAATTGCTTCGCGTGATTTTAGCACCTTGGCTTCTTGTCTGCTAGCCCTGTTTGCTGGAGATACTCCACTACAAGCTATTTTTGTCTGTATTTTGTAACGCTCTGCAGTATTCCTCTAGCTTTCTCAAGTGAGCCGTTCTTGACCAGCGTAGAACGCACCCTTCAGAAGCAATTCAGGGGTCCCTGCCTGTGACATTACTCACGTTTCTGAGCATAAATGTGGCCACAACAGGGAGAGACAAACAATGCTGTGTGATGGGACTTGGATACCTGCCTTCTTCAGGGGTCATTTCAAAATCCCTGCCAAAATCTTGTGTTTCCTTTAGATTTCTTTGCTTAAAGGTGTGGGAGTTTTCTGCTCCAAAGACCTTGCTGGAAAGTGAATCAGTATTCTCATCAGGGTTAACATATTTAATTTCCACTCCTAACGTTCCATTTGTTTTTTCTGTTAGCATTTGACTGCCGTGACACAAATCCACTCCATGTGAGCTGTCCAAGTCTGTCTGCTCAGTGGAAAACGGAACTGCTCTCCTTATCTCACCAGTGTATGTGGGAAGGAAGAGTGAAGGTACAACAACTTTGGAAAACAAACATAGGACACTTGAGGGCAGGACAGCTCCAATATGCAAACCAAAAGCAGATTTATAAGCTGAAATCCAGGAATCTTGGATTTCTTTATGAAGTATTCTGAGATTTGTGGCTCTTGAAAAGCACAGTAAAATAAACAGTGGATTAAACAGAGCAAAACCATGCAATTCTATTTGAGAGGGCTCCAAAGTGGAACAAATAAAGTGTCTTGGCACCTCTAGGATAATGACCAGTTGTGGTTACTGATTCAATGATACTCCTCACTAAAGCAGACTGGATAACCTTGAAGTCTGGCCTAAATTTGAATTCATGTAATTACATGCTGCTTGTTATGTTCCCTTCCATTTTCAATTGCGAAAAGTATTTGGTATTGTTTTCCCTCAGCTGTTACTGAAACTATTGTGTGAAGTGAAATGGTTGCTGTATTTTACAGAATAGGTAGTCGCCCGTGGGAGGTTTTGAATGGGAGGAGAATTCATTAAATTAGTGGCATGATAAATCAAACCCATCAGTCCTAACAGTGACGTATAAAAGAGCTATCAGCAAAGCGAGTGTTAATGTTGCTAAGCAGTTTTTATTCTAGTTTTCAGTTGTTCATAACTGCCAGTCTGAGCTGAAATTTCCCCTGTTGGGTGTCTGCTTCCAGCTGTTTTATTTTAACTTGTTTTGGTTGTTTTGTTTTGTATTATGATTTGTTTGCTTTGTTTTTGGAAAGTTCCATTTACAGCAATTGAGCCAACTACAGGGATGAATTTAGGGGAAAACACATGGTTTTGTCCATTACAAACATAACGCTTTCACTGAACAGCCTCTAGCATCTCTCTGGTTTGGAAAAACAGCTTTCAAATTTGGCAAGTAAATTGCTTTAGTTTCAGGGATATCTTTTTCCATCTTCATGAGAGTGTAGCCTGAAGAAAAAAAGGGTTAAAAATGTTGAGTGGAGGCTTCTTAAAATTGTGCAGCCCAGTCCCTAGAAAGTTCCACCCAGGTTGATCATGTGTGACCTTTTGTTAGGCCCGCCTGTATTCACATCTGAATGTACACACTCTCTCCAGAGAAAGGCTGAGCTTTTGCCTTGCTTTGCTAGTGTTCTGTATAAAACAAGAAGCCTCTAAGGGTCCCATCTCTCTCCCCTTGAACATTTTTGCTCAGGCTACCTGTTGTTAGGGAGAGTGTTGGCAGGATAAATCGCATAAAAGACCTGTCTCCTGCTGTAAGCTGTTTGTGGGTTTTGTTAGTCTTCCGGTATTAACACTAAAGGCTACTCATAGTTGTAAGCTCCAAGTAAGATTTAAGGCTGACCGCTATCCCAGAACGTAGTGTGATACCAGAAGGGATCTGTAGAATGGAAAAGTGCCTCTGAAATACCAGAGAGAGAAGAGGTCCTGAGTGAGGGAAAAAGGAGGAGCTAAACACCCTGACACATCTGTAGTTCTGGAGGATCGTTGTGCAAAAGATTGTTCTTTATCAAGTGAGACTATGGGAAAAGAAAAGGAGGAAAATACAGTTTTTAAAATGCAGATTCAGAAGCTTCAAGTTTAATAATTTGTAGTTAAGTAAGGAAGAAGTAGTTTATCATGTTCTGGTACAAAAAGGTGACAGAAATTCTGTAAGCTTTCATATATTTATACACACATATGTACATAAGCAGTGAGAAGGACAGTGGTGTTAAAGTAATATAAAGTTGTTTTAAAAGGCTGAGGAAACTGATCTACAGCCTCATTGGGCTGTCTTTATGGGTCATTACCCTTCAGGCCTGAGGTGTCACTTCCTTGAAAATTTGGTATGCAAGCTTTGATTCAGAATCATCCCTGACAGTTGCATCAAATGGTAAAAAGCAGAGATACTGCTCTTTATAATAACCATGAAGTAATCTGGCAGAACATATACATTAGTAAATAGCCACACAAACTAAGGCCTAAAACATATATGAATGTGGACTAAAGCCTGCAAAGGAAAAAGAGGTGGGTTCTCAGGTGGTGATTTCACAGGAGATAGTGCTCAAATTTAACAGCTCATTGCTGCAAAAAGAGCCTCTTCATTTCCAGTTCTGCTTTCCAATCCCTTATTTTGTACAGTAATTGATGAGGTTTGCTCCTTTCCTCCCAGTCCTCAATGGCTGAGTCAACTCAGTAGCCCAGCAAAAACATAAGCAGGCAGAAAATTACATAGCTTTCTGCTGAATTAGTTCAGTCAGTCATTTGTTTCAGTTAATTAAATCAGGAGGGTCTAACAAGCATCAGGGCACAAAGGAAGAGTTGGGACTGCATGACAGGGTGGGAGATCCTCTGTAAGCATCAGCAAGGAAGAGTGAGATAACCTGAAGCTGTGCATTTCCTCTGACTTTTCAGGGAACACTGTCTGTGAGAAAACATTATGGTATGGCACCAACTGAAATTCTTGGTAAGTTCAGTGAAATGCAACTCAAAATTATGGTTGGCCAGTGGTATCTCAGGAATCTTCCCGGATGCCGAATCCAACAAACTAGTATTTCTGGAAGCTAACTAACATTGAAATAAGGTACATGCCCACAGAAACCTATCTGTGGGCCCTGGGAGCTGACAATATCCACGATTTTAGTGTGAGGTCTCCAGCAAAATTAGGTTCTAGCTACATTTAATATCGGAGAGTTTAACAGGAACGAAATGCAAGAATGTGATTGTGTTATGCAGCAATTTGGGAGAGTGTATATAAAACTGTTTCAGCCCACCAGGCACGATCAAAGGGCTGCAGTGGGTGTCAAGAGTGAGCAATTAAACTGCTTCGGGTTCTGATCAGCACAGTGATTTGGTTTTCTTAGCTGAGTTCTCAAAAGCTGATAAGACTCCCTCTCCTGAAGAAATGGAGGTTTTTCTCTTCAGTATCTCAGGAATCCTTGGTCTAAATAAATCCAGATTAGGACCACTAGCTGTGCTCTGTTTCTGAGATACCCCCAAATTTCCCGTTTTTCTTAATAAGTACGTGGATTTTAAAGCAGTTCAGGAAGTCAGAGTGAAACCCCAAGGGATTTCAGAGGCATTGAAGTGCCTTATTTGTCATTGTGTGATGTTTTCAGCTGATTGAAAACAACTCTTGAAGATGGAAGTTTCTTGGGACAGAGGAGGGATTTGTGTGTGTATGTATATTTTCAGATCCTTTCCCTAATATTTGTCATCCTGTGATAGACATCAGATCTCTGATAGCTCTCACCATTGTGTGGTTGGTACAGAGGGGTCTGCTTTCAGCTGCACACACTGAGACACAAGAGCTTTCCAGACAACAGCTCACTGAAGGACAGAGGCACAGGATCCATTGCTTTCTCTAAATTCTAGCAGATAGACCAAGGCATACCTAAAACCTGTCTATGGCTCAAGGCAGCTTCCTGGGCTCAAAAATAGTTTGAAGCTAGGAAAGTTTTAGGATGACAGTTCACATATGCATGCCCTGTGCTTACTCTTTCCTAGGTATCAAGTTCATGCCCACTGTTCTTGCTGTTTCTCTCTTACCCGTGGCCATTGACTGAGGCAGAAGCATGAGCTGGCTGGATCTTTGTTCAGTTAGAGTATGGGCAAGCTTATGGACGGGAGTAGCCAGATCATAAGAATCCTTTGGATTGTTCTCACACCAAAACAGAAGGGAAAGTAAAATAAGACATCCCTCCCAGAAGGAAGAGATCTGCGAGATCCTAGCTTTTATGGGTGCACAGAGAGTGGCTCAAGCTGTAATTTTTGCAATAATTTATTTCAATTGCTGGCTTCCCCATTCTCAGTCCCTTGCTTGAACCACCTCTGGCATTCAGTGTACTCTCTGCTGAGCCATGATAATAAATAATCAGAAAATTTAGCTCCCTGTTGATATTTCTGTTCTGGAACTGCTGTCTTGGAGAGTTGATTCTTGTTTGTGTATTGAAGAGGAGAGTGAAAGGTGGAGGGACAGTCCTGCTCAAACCCACAAGCCATACTCTCAGGGGGCAAATAGAAGGGAGTGAGGTTATAGACAGCAAGAGCTTCAATTTGGAGAGAGTGGATATGATTTGGATTTATAAAATCAAGTCAGTAGGTAGAGTGAATGCAGATTGTTGTTCTACAAATCCTGCAGTACTAGAACAAGGGGGCACTCATTGAAACCAATAGGAGATTGGTTTAGAAAAGATAAAAGGGAATACTTGTTTATGTAGAAGCTTTAATGACCTTGT